TTTTTTTTTTTTTTTTTTTTTTTAGGTCTTTTCTCCCACGGAGCTGCTGAATTGGTTCAAATCACAGGCCTTTCAGTTAGCAGCTGAGTGCTGATATATCTATCACGATAGATATATGAATAAACAAAGAAATAGGCTTTCAAAGAAAGAAAGAAAAGAAGTATATAATAGTTAGGGAAATACTTTTTTACCTACCTGAAAAAAGATCTTTTTTAATCTAATGATATACTAATTCATTCACTCTGCTTCCTTCAGCATAATATGTTATCTTTGTTCAAAAAGACAAGGCACTTTTCCATCTACTTCTAAAGTTTGACTACCAATAGTCTGTTTCCTAAGTTAGCATAGAGGGTAAACAAAATTCAAACCTGTTGCCATAGAATCCGTTCTGACTCATGGTGACCCCATGTGAGTCAGAGTAGAACTGTGCTCCATAGTTTTCAATGGCTGTGATCTTTTTGGAAGTAGATTGCCAGGGCTTTCTTCTGGAGTACCTCTGGGAAGATTCAAACTATCAACTCGTCAGTTTGTGCCAACCAGGGCATCCAATATAGAGGGTAGGAGGGAATGAAGAGCAGAGAACATGCCTAGGATGAAGTTAACAAATTTATAAATGACATGCCCATATTTTTTAAAATTAATACTGCACATGCACTTGGCTTTCGGGACAAAACAAGCTTAAAAATGATCAGTTGAGCCAACATTTTAATCCAGAATCTTGGGCCAGATGAAAAGCATTAGAAATCAGTATAATTAAGAAGTGAAACTCAGACTGGAATGAAGATAAGGTAGCATATATCAACAATCATAGTCTTTATTCACTGGACTCAAACCTCTACTATATAGATGAAGCTAAAGAGTTCGAGCCTTTTCTAGTCCATTCACAATTTAGATGTTTAAAAGGGCACTGTGGGTAGAGATGTAAAGAGTAAAGTTAAAGAATACTTTTAACTTGGAATGTCAAAGCCTTGTGAGATTTTATACTTTGGCAAATGTACATATTTAAACTGGAAACTACTGCAGCAGGTTTCATAAAGTAATATTATGTGACAAAGAAATTCTAAATTACTTTCTTCAACATAAAAACGATGTTCACAAAAATATTTCATTAATACGAATGAAAATTCTAAGTATGTTCTATTCTTAGAATTAAAAAAAAAGGCTTGAAGGGGGAGGAATTAATTACCACCTATAAGCAGCATTACAATAAATAGAGAAAAGATTAAATTTGTCAAAGATTTCACATTACTGGTTCCACAATCAACACCAATGGAAGCAGCAGTTGAGACATCAGACAACGTATTGCACTGGGCAAATCTGCTGCAAAAGACTTCTTTAAAGTGCTGAAGAACAAAGATGCCTCTTTGAAGACTAAGGTGTGCCTAACCCAAGCTGTGGTATTTTCAGTCACCTCATATGCATGTGAAAGCTGGACAATGGATAAGGAAGACCAAAGAAGAGCTGATGCTTTTGAGTCATAGTGTTGGCAAAGAATATTGAAAGTACCATGAACCTCCAGAAGAACTAACAAATCTGTCTTGGAGGAAGTGCAGCTGGAATGCTCCTTGGAAGCAGGAACAGCCAGACTTCATCTCACCTACTTCGGTCGTGTTGTCAGAAGGGACCATTCCCTGGAGAAGGATATCATGCTTGCTAAAGTGGAGGGTCAATGAAAAAGGCGAAGGCCCTCAATGAGATGGATTGACACAGTGGCTGCAACGATGGGCTCAGGTATAACAAGAATTGTGAGGCTGGAAGAGGACAAGGTAGTGTTTCATTCTGTTGTACACAGGGTCGCTATGAGTCGGAGCTGACTCTTTGGCAACCAACAACAAGAATGTGTTCTGTCATTTCAGCATTCACTGCTGTCAATTTTATTTAAAGAATACAAATCCCCCAAAGCACTCCAAAATACCCAACTGGTAATCAGCCCCCTACAAGGAAAAATAGTTTGAAAAAGCAATCATATAAGAGAGAAAAAAGTCAGTTGAATATTTTTTGGGTAGTTCAAGAAAATAACATGAACCAACTAGCGTAATGAACAATAAAATAATATTTAAGAGTGATTAGAGTTTTAAAATAAGTTTACATACGCTGTCATATAGTTTGTATGACAAATACTATTGTTATTTGAATCATATATTCTATCACTTCCAGATACACTCTATTCCTGTATCAGTATTTGGTTAATGGAAATAATTCACCATTTCCTGTTGTTCTTTGAGCAAAACCAAGTGTGATTTATACATGGCAGAAAAAGTTACTATGACCACCACATGACCAAATTCTAAGTTTACAGGAAAAAAAATGAGATTTTAAGAGTTGACATTTAAAAGCAATTATTCTATCAAGAATAATTAGAAATTTTGTACAATGCTGGAAATCAATTTCGATACTAAAATGTCCTAGTTTGAAGCATAGATCTGATGCTATCAGTTGGGATATAAACCACAAATACAATTTTTCCCTGATCTTAGCTGTAAAACAAGATACTCTATATTCATTTTCAAAAGTTTCCACCTTGTTTATAAAAATACAGCTTCAATTTTATAGCAGGTAGACACAAGATATTTGCAGCTATACAAGTGATTTTGGATGGCTGTTAGCATAGGGAAAATGGTATTTACAAAGGAAGGTGGAAAAGCTTTTTTGCAAATAATTATAATCACATATCAAACAGTATCTCTTTTATCCCTCTTACTTTACTGTAAAGGTCTTGACTTTACTGTAAAGTCAAGGACTGCATTACAAATTAGGCAAACATTTTTAAGTGGCTTAAAAATCTTGACCTTACATGAAGAAATGATTTTTATCTTCACTTGAATGAATACTGCCCAAAAAATTTACTAAAAGAAATAAAAGTAAGATGACAAAATATTATTCAGTCCCAGATACTTTTAATTTATTTTCAGCACTGTAATTTACAAATAATGCCTATATACAGGCATATATTTGCATGTGAATTAACAGCATATAAAACTTTAATTACATTAAAATTTTAAATAGAAGAATAAGAATGTGGTGCTCTCACTCATCTGAATTGTGAAGAGAAATACCCACATACCACCAATGAAATGGACACATGTGTGGTGAATTTATAAAGTAAAAATACTTTTGCCTAAACATGTGCCTTTCTTCTTAATAATATCCAAATGTTTAAAAAAGATAATTAGGATATTTTGTCAATTATGAATAAACCACTATACTTTCTTAGGCGCAGATTCTTAATTAGCTCTCTTTTCCAAAGCAGAATATCAGAATTCCAGAAAGGGTTTAGCAGTGGCTTTCATGGGGGTCTAGGCATCTTCTAGGACATCTAAAATCTCAAAATCCTACTTAAAGGGCATAACAGTGCATATTTTCAAATGAGGGAAAGGATACTTAAACCCACTGCCATATTGTGGATTCTGACTCACACCAACCCTGTAAGACAGAATAGAACCACTCCATAGGGTTTCCAAGGCTGTAAATCTTTACAGAAGCAAACTGCCTCATCTTTCTCCTATGGAGCGACTGGTGGATTCAAACCATTGACATTTTGGTTATAAGCTGGATGCTTTAACCACTGTGCCACCAGAGCTCCTTAAGAACACATAAGGCAAAATAAATGAAGCATGGTGGAGCTGCGAAATATGTCAGATGTCAAAGAAATTCTTTTGGAGGAAGGAGTGGGAGACAAAACGGAGATTATTGGATTAAATGAAAAAAAAAATCCAAAAAGGTTCTTGGTTTCAGGTGCAATGCAGAATATCTGAGACAACAATTTCAGTTTTCATCCACTTGTTACAAAGGGCAATCCTGCCCTCCACCTGATATTTTTAACATACTTATTATGGCTTTGCCATAAAACAGCATGTTAATAATCTATACATTCAAAAAGATGCTTGCAAACTTCATTCATATTAAAATCTATGCAGAATTGTTGGCAATACATTAAAAGTAATATTACATTCTGTAAACCATGGCATACCATATTTTACATTATGCAAAGGGACAATATTTACAGGTCTTCAGGGGTTTAAATATTTTATCCATTAACATAACTGATAATTTAGCAAAGTGCAGGACAAAATCAGTGCTATTATTTGAATGTCCTTTAAAAGCACATTAGAGCAAAAACATTTCTAAAAGCTACCAAAAGCTTATTTAAGTATATCCAGTAAGGGATTACAGAGCATAAGTAGCCTAGAAAAAATGATGCATAATTAGAAATAGTACGAAAATTATAAGGCAGCATGCTAGAACAACTTTTTCTTTTTTAATATTATATATATAATATTTATATGTATAAGAGTATGTGTGTATACTTATTTAAAAATTAAGAATGTAAAACACAAGCCTCAATTAACATAAAAAGATGTGCAAATTTTTTCTTAAACCAACACAAATAAGAGAGCAAGGAGAATATTCTACCATTATAAAGAATAATTTGAACAGAGCAAAAAGAGACCATCTTCATTCCAAAATCATCTACAAGGCACTAAGGGTAGGAAATGACAGGTAACACAGAAGTGACTGAATAAAATTCCTCAGTCAGGTCGGAATATGGGATATTTTGGTAAGAATTCTATTAGTATTACCTGTAAAATAAGAACAAACAAGAATATATTGATAAAGTAATTTTCATTCAATATAATTTATATATAACCTAGAAAGTCTATAATCATTTCTCACAGGACTACATTTTGATTCTGTGGTATAAACTAAGTAAAATAATATGAAACAGAGTTATATGAAGAATTTACCACAAATTATTTTTAGATAGAAAATAAAATTAAATTGGCAAACATAGCTACTTAACTGTACCTAATAGTTTTTATTGCCGGATTTACAATAGGTTATTTGTTTAGGTTCAGAAAAGCAAACACTATTACATTACCATGCTCCACTTATTTTTGGCAAAGAGATTAAAATTGTGCTATACAGATAAGAAAAGATACTTTTATCTCTATCATTTCTATATATTTCTCAAATAAGCTGCAGTTGGTATTGAATACTACTATATTTTACAAGTTATTTATGAAAAATAGCAACCGTCCAATGTATTGATTAAAAAATTTTAATGATGGAGAGGTGGGGAAGTATTAGAATAAAAAGATATTTTTTTGGATGTCTTCTTTATAGTGGATTTTAGATTTGTGGTCATTTGTACTTTTTCCCCCAAACAACTCAAAAGACAGAGAGAAACCATAAAAATCCTTATTTATGAGATATAAACAGAATGCTTTATTATGATATACACACTACATGAGGACAAATTTAATAATGGATAAATTTAATATTCCTCTGAATGTTAATAATGCTGAATTTATCACATTGAATATATGTGAATTTATGTTTTAGGACTATAATTGGATAATCTTCAGGTAGCATAGTGCCTAAGGCACTTGACTGCTAACCAGAAAGTTGTCAGTTCAAACCCACCAGCCACTCCTTGGAAGGAAGATGGGGCAATCTACTTCCGTAGTGATACTGCCTCAGAAACCCAAGGAGGGGTCACTATGAGT